TTTGGATACTCAGAACACATTCTCTCCTAGAAACATAATTGCAAATAGTAACTAATTTTCCTTCAAAAAAATAAAATAAAAGAGCATCTGTCTAATAGAAGTGGAGTCTCACCTTGCTGCAAGCCAATAGAATCTGAGTCAGGAACTCCAACAAGGCTGGAGCCAAAATTTCGAGAGGAAGTGATGGTGATGAGTGGTGATGATGATGGTTCAGGAATTGGGGAAGGGATGAGAAACCAGAACGTGACCTCTGGAATGAGGAATGGGTTTCGAGAAGGCTGAGGGGTGGTGCATGTCCTTGGTGTTGAGTGGCGCGGGAAAGCTCGTGTGGTCAAGCTCTTGGGTAAAGGATAGAAATGAGGGAGAATGAGCCATGTTTCTTCCTGCACCTGCTGCACCCCCAGAGCGTCTCAGCAATGGCACTGCCAAGCTCCCAGCTGCTCAAGCCGGTTCAGTGAATTCTATTTATTCTGTCTCTAAACCACATGTCAAATGTGTTCACCTTTCTCCCCTTCACGGCCACCACCTTAGGCTAAGCGCCGTCGCCTGTTTCCCAGAGCACTGTGGAGCCCCCTAGTGGGCAGCACTGCCTCCAATCCTGCCACCCACCCCAGCAGCCAGAATGATGTTACCAAAGCAGACAGGTTTTCCAGGTGGTCCCTTGACTTAAAATCCTTTATTGGTTTCCCTTTGAATTTTGAACAAAATCTAAACTGCTTACCTCTGCCCAAGGATACCTCTCTACCCCATCAACTTCAGCTCATGCCACTCGTCCCTGTCCACTGGGCTCCATGACAACAACCTTTCTGAGTTCCCTGATCCTCATCCCAAGCCTCTTCCTCACCACTTCAACCACCACCACTTCCCCACTCCCATCGTGGATTTCCTTTTCTTCCTTCCAATCTCAGCTTAAACGGCACCCTTTGCTGGGGCCCCCACTAACTTCCCCTTGTACAGAACCCCAGCACCTGTTTTCTTTCTTTTTGCACCTCTAATTTCTAATTGTTTGCCGGCTTGTTCAATGTATCTTCCCCACTAGACAGAGATACAACTTCCACGCAGGCAGGAACTCTGTTTCATTCAATGCTGCATGCGCAGAATCCTGCGCAGGGCCTCACGCTGAGGAACTGTGGGGTATGTGAATAAGTACATGGCACTTGTTTCCTGTTCTCCTCTATGTCTTCTGCTTCCTCTAATACCAGACTAGATTTGATTCCAAGCCTATACTGAGAATACAGTAAATTCCTATTTTTAAAAATATTGGCTGAAGTTTTATTGTAGAAGAGGAGAATGGGGCTGACCTATAATGTATGGGCAGACATTTCATTTTTTTGAAGGGAGGAAGAGGACATTTCAAGTGGGAAGCAGCATGAACAAAGGCAAAGAGAGGAGAATTTTGGCATCTTCTGGAAACATGGAAAAGAGTATCCTACTGAGGTGAAGTTTCTTGGAAAACAGCTGGCATCAGGATAGTAAGATGGTAACCATATGGAAGGTTGTACAAACCAGGATGAGAAAGCAAAATGTTTATAAAATATCAGGGGGAAACCACTTTTTGCAATGCTTTTGTAATTAACCTCCTTCAAGTGTTGTGTCCTCTCTTCTCTTTTCATCACAGTTTCTCAGGGGAGTGGACAGGATGGCGAGTGCTCTCTGGGCTATTTCCCCTGCGGGAACATCACCAAGTGCCTGCCCCAGCTGCTTCACTGCAACGGTGTGGACGACTGCGGCAACCGGGCCGATGAGGACGACTGCGGTGAGTGAAGCACCTGTGCTCGGGGCGCGGCAAGGGGCAGACAGGACTGAAAGTGAAGTTAGGGAGACTTCTCTTAACAAAAAGGAAAGTGGGTAAAGGGAAAACTAAACTGAAATACAAAATATTTGTGGCATAAGGAAATCTTACACTTACTTCATTAGCTTAACATATACATTCTTTTCTATGTGATAGTATCACAACCAACATTTCAGAAAAGTAGTGATTGTGCATACAGTAAGGGTTTTAACCCAACAAATCTGCCCAGTTAAGGTCTTGGAGGCAGAAGGGTGTCAAAAATTGAGAATATGGACCCTGGAGCCAGATTGCCCAAGTTCGAACCTGGGTACAACAATAACTAAGTATGTAAACTTGAGACTATTTCTTAACTTCGCTGTGCCTCAGTTTCCTCATGTCGTAAAAGGGCTTGATAATTGTACCTGCACCAGGAGAATTTGCAAAGTAAGTGCAAAGGATTAGAAGAGGGCTGGGCGTATGGCAGGTGCTACCTAAGTGTTAGACACTATTGCTCTTTCTTGTCTTTTGTTTACTACACCTGGAAAGGAAAAGCGAGACCTTCTAAAAAATAAAAAAAACAATATGTAAGTGCATCTTACCTTTTAACCAACAACCATACCTATGAGGCCTATAAGTAGGGCTTCTGGCCAATAAGAATATCTGGGGAAAATAGCCTTCAATTTGGATTTTGTTCAAATTTCTGAAGCCTTAAAAATACAAATTTATGAAAGAATTTGAATTGCCTAGATCTGGCTCACTTGAAAAAGAAGCGTTAGTTAATAATGTAAAATAATAAGATTTCTCACTCATATGGAAATAAGGTATTATTTTTGGAGGACAAAAACATGCATAACAACATTAATACTCAAAGTGCTACATAAATCATATACACTAAAGAGGCCTTGCTGTTATCACTCCCGCAAATATCACAGGCTTTTTAGAGCACCACGTTGAAGGAATTAAATTTCTGTTAAAATAAAATAAGAAAGAGACCAGGCTTAAAAATCCCTCATCCTGAAAAAACCAGCTAGGCCACACAAGCGAAACTTAATTATTGAGTATTTTTTGAATGTAAGTAAAACTTAACTTAGGTTATTTCTTTGTAAATGCCCCTGATAACCAAAAACAAAACAAATCATCTTCCTAAATGGTATAAGGTAATCCCTTTTAACCAATCCACTGCCATCTGGAAACCCCATTGTAATAACCAGTCGTTGTGAAGGTTGAACAGCTCCCTCCGTTCCACGTGGTAAGTCATCCTACACGACAGGCCTCTGAGCTTCTCACCACCTGGCTTGAAGTCTTCCTGACAGTGAGCTGTACTCTCTCTTGTCTGATTTACTTTTAAATTCTCCTAACTTGGTCTGATTTTATTTTTGACACTTCTCAGTTTGGAGCACTGTCTCCAGGTGGTGGTGGTCACTCGAGCGTACCCACGCTATCTAAGCTGGTGAGCTTAAGCTACAATTACTTTTGATTTGGATGGCTATACATAGGTGTTTTCTTTTTTCAAAAAATAGCGTCTTGTTAAAACAACTGAATATTACACAAACTTTTTTTTTTAATTAGATGAAACGGTTTCATCTGCCAACCACTTTCCCCTCAAACTGTTGGCAATTCAGATGGCGAGTCCTAGGCAGGGTGACAGGAAGGCATCCCACCAACTGAAATGGCAACAGGAAGCAGGAGAGGAGCCTGGTAGGTGCAGCAAATTCACCACCCAAAGTAGGATCTCAGTGAAAGAAAGTTTGGGAATTCTAGCTTTAGTGCTAAATTTAAAGAGACCAAGTAGCAAAAGTAGCGATCCTTGCAGTAATAATCCTTAAAATCATGCAAATTTCTCAGGATTCACCAGTAAGCAAATTCAGATGGAGGCAATAAGGCATTTGGGCTTAGAGAGCAGGTTCAGGAGATGCAGGCTTAAATTCTAGCTATAAAGAGAGGCAAAATGGCTGTTTTCTATATAAGGGGGAAAATAAGAATATCTGTGACCATGGGTTGTTAAGAGGATTCAATGAAATAATGTATCTAAGATGCTTAACAGAGTATAGGGGCTGTGGACTGAATGTTCATGTCCCTTCCAAAATTCATATGTTGAAACCCTACCCGCTAAAGTGATAGTATTGGGAGGTGGGATTTAGGAGGTAATTAGGAATAGATGAAGTCATAAGGGTGGAGCCCTCAGAAATAGGATTAGTGCCCTTATAAGAGTCCTTAGGGAGCTTGCTTCCTTGCTTTGCCTTGTGAGGACACAGTGAGAAGACTGCTGTCTGTGAATCAGAAAGTGGGCCCTCACCAAACACCAAGCACCTTGATCTTGTACTTCCCAGCTTCCAGAACTGTGAGAAATAAGTGTCCTTTAAGCCTGCACTCTCCAACCCCTGGGCCACAGAACCGGCGGCACCGCAGGAGGTGAGTGGCAGGCCAGCCAGGGAAGCTTCATCTGTATTTATAGACGCTCCCCATGGCTTGCATCATGGCATACGCTCCACCTCCTGTCAGATCTGTCAGATCAGTGGGGGCACTAGATTTTCATAGGAGCAGGAACCTTACTGTAAACTGCGCATGCGAGGGATCCAGGTTATGTGCTGCTTATGAGAACCTAATGCCTGATAATCTGTGGTGGAGCTGAGGCTATGATGCTAGTTCTGGGGAGTGGCTGCAAATGCAGATTATCATTAGCAAAGAGGTTTGACTGCACAATAAATGTCATGAGCTTGAATCATCCTGAAACCATCCCCCTGCACCCCTGGTCCATGGAAAAATTGTCTTCCGTGAAACTGCACCCTGGTGCCAAAATGCCGGGGACTGCTGGTTTAAGCCACCCAATCTATGATACTTTGTTATAGCAGCCTGACATGACTAAGACAACAGGACATAAAATTAGCCATCAATAGATGTTAGGTTGTATATCATTTAGCTGTAGCTATTAATATATTACA